AATAATATAAAATAATTTTGTAAGGCTTTTTAATTTGACTCAATAATTTAATTATACTAAATAAATAAAAAATACAGTGCAATAAAGTAACCACACTTTTATTGAAAGTAAAACAAAAAATTGGACAGAAAATATATTAATATTAAATATAAATATATTATTTTTATTCAGTTCTATGCAACAGAATCAGATTTAACAGATTTTGTTTGTTTGTTTGTTTGTTTAATTATGCAAATACTCCTGCAAAGCTATTATTATCAGAGCATGTGAGCAGAGCATAACGTCACGAGAGGGTAGCATCATTTTACCAGCGTTGCCCAGTCTAGCTGCACTGAAAATGTGTGTAATTTTCTTTCTTTTTGTTCCTACTTTCTTCATTTTCTCTCTCCATCTGGCAGCTAATGTTAATATGAGAATGTATATATGTAATGCCTTTTGTTCATTGTATCTCATGTTCACCTCATGTACATTATATTGTCGCCCTCTAGTAGAAGATTTAAATGATGCAGATCAATTCACTTGAGGGTAATTTCTCCTTATTATCGAGAACATAAAACCTGTTTGAGCTCCGAGTATCAGATGGTGTAACTGCACTAGGTGGCGCTCTTTCAGTGTGATTAATGTGATGTTCAGTCAGTGGTGATGGTGGGAGGATACAGTAAAGCTGCTCATTACTGATAAAGAGCTGAATAAAGAGGAAGTAACTAAAGCAGACAGATGTAGAGACAGAGAGATTCACACAGAGATCATTCAGCATAAAGAAGACTGAACTCAACTCACAATGAAGATCCTCCTCATCTTCCTCACTTTCTACCTGATCTCAGGTGAGAGCTTTTCTCTTTCATCACTGCAGTAATGATGCTGTTTCTGTTCATCAGCTTTCTGATCACAGTATCAATCTGATTAACAGCTGCAGTGAGATGCTTTAGCATCACGGGATATTCTGGAGGAAGTCTTCTTGTTGATTCTGGGAAACTTTGGTTCCGTGACTCTGCCAAATATATGGCCAAATTACCTGAGTGGAGAACAATAATAAATGATACAAAGCATAAATGGATTAAAGAAGGACGATTCACACTTTACCGAAACAATGAGGGAAAGCTCATGATCTACATCAGAGAACTGAACACACAAGATGCTGGAAGATACCGGATTAGGGTTGATGGCCAGTGGTCCATCGATATGACTTTGAATGTGGAAGAAGGTCAGTCATTAGGCGCGTTTCCATTACAGATTTGCGCAAAACTTTGGCGATATTTTATAAATGTCGATAAAAAAGTATTGCGAAATGACGGCGTTTCCATTAACCAATGTTATGCGACTAAAACGTAACCTTTTGCCTCTCGCAATAAGTCATGGCAACGGATTTTGGTGGGATTTTGGCTATATTTATTCAAAGGAGGCTTTTGAGTGTATCTTTACAGAAGCAGCAAAGAGAGCCGCTTCAGAAACGTGCGTGGCAAGGCTGGAATAAACCATAGACTGTATAAAAATATAAACACAAGCACTGAGTGCCACCTCATGCGAGCGTAAAAACTTTTTTGCGATATATGGGAGTTTTTGCAAAATTTATGCGTTTCCATTAGGCGTATTTTCAGTTCGCAATTTCAATTTGCCCAATTTGAAGGGTAATGGAAACGAGCCTATTGTAGAACATTTTTTCTCTATTTAGTATAACTACTGATGAAAGCATATGTTAAACATATTTCACTATTTTGTGAATGACAGGTTCATGTTGTAAAGTGTCAAAGAGAGTGAGGGTGAATATTGGAGAAACTGCCAATTTCAGCTGTGAATATTCACAGAATCATATTAATGATCCCAAGATCATATTCAAAGAAGGAGAAGACTCAATTGAGATGATTTACAGCAGATGGAAGAAGAAAGAAAGATTCAGTATTTCTGATGACAGACATAAACACATCTTCAGTGTGAGAATCACTGCTGTGACACCAGATGATGGAGGAGTTTATTTATGTGGAGTTTGGATCGGTGGAGACTTGTATACTTACACAATTATTAATACTGTCCATCTACATATTATGAGTGAGTAATAGAAACTATCAATGTCTTCTAGAAAATAGTATTTGCTTGTAGTATTTGTGAGATGTCAAATTTGATAAATGTGATTCAGTCAGATATTTGTGTTTGACAGATAAGTTGAATGTTTATAAAGTGATCGGCTCCTCAGACTGATGATCAAGTGTGAACATCCTCAATACAAAACCAAAGCAAAATACATCTGTAAAGAATCAGATAAATCTTCAGAGAGGAAGAATCTGTGTGTGTGTGTGTGTGTGTGTGTGTTGTGCGTGTGTGTGTGTGTGTGAGTTTTTCTTTCGATTTTTATGCAATTTCTCTCGGTTTACAGATGCAACGTTTGTGACTGAATCTGTGTATCTTGGTGGAGATGTCAACATCACCTGTCAGGTCCCAAAGAAACATAAAGTTCATTTATGCAAAGAGCTTGATGATCACATCTGCCAAACCATCAGCTCATCTAAAGTGACAGAAATGAATCCTTCATCTGAGAGAAATGAAGAGAGAGTTGTTAGAGTGAGCATCAGTAATGTGAGTGTGAGAGATGCTGGAGTTTACTGGTGTGGAGCAGAAACCAGAGACACATATCTGACTTTCATCTCCCTGAACACTAAAATTCAGCTCAACCTCATCAGTGAGTCCATTCAGATGATTTTAAGTGTAATTTCACTGATTTTCAAACCACTTTTTATTGTTATAATGTCGGTTGCATATCTAAATGAACAATATTCACTTGTTCTCTGTGTTTCATGGGCCAAAAAATGTTTTGTTTTATTTGTAAGCAAAAGTCAAAGCTCCGGGGCTTTTGTGAACAGATTATACTTCGGCATACAGATTAGATTTTGGCATTTTTGTATCCATGCCCACAGACATTTGGATCGACAGAGGATTATTAACAAAATGTTTATTGTAAAAGTAGTTCCCCTTCTAGGGAACTCAACACTGCGCCCCTTAGGCAGCCTGCATGACCGGTGTCTGAAGCATGTGTGAAACAACGCCAATCTATTGGCCCACCTGTCCCATGATGTCCCGGGATTCCCGGAAGTATAAAAGGCCACCTGCTGAATACGTCATCCACACTTTGCTGTATTCAGGAGCCGTCTGTTTGAAGTGCATGTGATAGACCAGGGCAGGTGAGCGGTGTGGAGAGTGTGTGCCTCCGTTCCAGAGGTTTCTGGCACTTGAGGATGTGCACAATCTATCTGTCATCTGTTTTTGGTGAGGAGCTTGCACGTTCAGTGCTCGGGGGCTCTGAACGCACTCATTGTGTGTGTTATCCAATAAGAAGCTCCATTCGCATTTGTCCCTCTTCTCGAGAGATGAGTGACAAGTGGTTGCATCTCGCGGTTCGGGTCCCGTTGTTGCCGAGGCACGGCGAAGACTCGGATTGCGGGATTCACAGGGTTGAGATGCCCTTTATGGGTTATCGGATCCCGCGGATAGTGCTCGAGTCGAGCAGCGCTTTAGAGAATGTGTGCCTCCATGTTTGGATTCTAACACTCGAGGGCATTTTCTGCTTTTGCGTTTGTCTCAGCAAAAAGCATGCGCGTTCAGAGTTACTTGCTCATTGTGATGAGTCACGATGTCTAGGCTCCACTCGCATTTGTTCCTATTCCCAAGGGATACGGAACAGAGCGTTTAAGTCTTGCGGCCCGGTTTTGCCGTTGCCACGGCACAGTTTATCTCACCTCGCGTTCATCGTTTTGATCTGCGGCATCCGCACATGCTCTCTATATGGGTTGTCAGATGCCACATATATTGTTGGGTTGTTATGATGATGAAGTGTGAGCACAGACTCGTTTCAGCGCTGATCCTGCGAGATCATGGGCGGACCTATATTATGGGGAATATCTTTTTGCTCTGAAATTTGGCGGTCTGAGGTTCAGCTATATTCTAGCCTAGATTCTAATAACTAGGTCGGGTTCCCCTGGGCACAAGTTCTTGAGTAAGTGCTGAAGCCTTTATTTAGGAATCTGCTATTCGAGGATAGCTGTGTTTTTAGATTGTGGTCTCTGTGAGCCCCTTGCCTGGACTGTGCTGTCTCCCCTTTGGGGTTTTAAATAGATGGCGCACTTCCGTGGCCTGGGCAATCTTCAACCTTATCTGAGAGAACTGCTATTCCAGGAAAGCTGTGTCCAGCCCTCTAGTGCTATGGCTACTGCTTACATCAGGCTTGATCTCGGACTATGATGTTTGTGTTCGCTCTTTAGCGAACCATTTACTGATGGTCTGGATCACCCTCTTGTGAGATTTTCTAGTCAATAGCACGGTCCTTTGTTAGCCTACTGTGGGACTGACACGGATTGGGGACCTCCTTAATATAGCCTTCTGAAGTTGGTTATATTCCAGCCATTGTTTTGGCAGGATGGGCTTACTTGAATACAGCTACCTGTGGCTAGCTGTGCTCTACTGCAATTGCGGTGAGTCTTTCATGGAGTGGTTCCTTTTCCTAGAGCCTAGCTATCTGAGGGTAGCTTTGTGCTATCTCAGTGATTGCTCCCCTGCTTAGGGTTTTTAAGTAGCGGTCTTTTGAGCCCTTACCTAGACAGTGTTGCCTCCCCTCTTTGGGTTGTAAGTAGACAGTCCACTCTTTGTGGTCTGGTGGTTTCAGTCGGTCCCCCGTTGTGGTAGCCCTTCCTAGGTACATAGCTATCTGAGGATATCTGTGTGCTAGCTCAGTGACTGCTCCCCTTTTTAGGGTCTTTAAGTAATGATCTCTTTGAGCCCTTGCCTAGACAGTGCTATCTCCATTGCTAGGGTAGTAAGTAGACAGTAGTGGGCAGCTCCGTAGGAAGACTATCTTGGCTATGTTATTCAGGTCCACAAGCCTTCATAAGACCTTAGGGACATACTGTAGCTATCTGAGGAGCTCAGCAGCTACCCTCTTTACCTGGGATTTAAGTAGCATCTCTTATAGATGCTTCTATAGAGGCTTTCCAGTTGGCCTCCTCAGTGGTCTTGTGTATCCAGGCTAGTTCTGCTCGCAAAGCATAGCTATCTGAGGATAGCTGTGCTCTTAACTTGGATTGGATGTTCCCCTTGATCTATTCAGGTTCCCCCGTTTCTGCCAAGTTGCGTGAGTGGCCCGTTGCGTCAGTGGCATGGCCTCTTTCTGAGGAAAGGTTTTGTTTATGTCTGTCACTTCATTGGTGCTCTCCCACCAGGTGCACAGTGTTGAGTTCCTTAGAAGGGGAATGTTGCAGGTTACGCATGTAACCATGGTTCCCCGAGAGGGAACGAGACACTGTGCCCCCTTGCCATACATTCGGCCTGCCTGTCTACGTCTCCTTCAGACAGCTAAAGTGGATGACGTATTCAGCAGGTGCCCTTTTATACTTCTGGGCATCTCGCCTATGACGTCATGGGCCAGGTGGGCCAATAGATTGGCGTTGTTTCACATGTGCTTCAGACACCGGTCATGCAGGCTGCATTTCCCAATGTGCCCCCTAGCCCCCTAGGGGGCAGCATATCGTTACCTCTTGGGGAACCATGGTTACATGCATAACCTGAGATGTTTTATCACTGGAAATTGTGACCGCATTATGGTAAAAATGGAACACTATGGCAACAGCTATCTTACCTGTATGGGACACCGTTTTGATTCGGTGGAATTGACAGAATCAGTTTTTTTGTTTGTTTTGTAGTCTTTCAGTTTGAAATGTTGACTACAAACAGAGTTTTTTTTCAGATTTACCATCGCTCTGTTCTCACTATATTTATGATTCTTTACTGTATATAACATGCTGGATCTTTAGCTGGAAACACTCACTCTCGCTAAATGTTTACTTTTTAAATTCTTGCATGAGTGTTTGACTTTCACTGTGGCTGTTTTTGAGTTATACGACTTTTTTTTTTTTTTTTTTTTTTTTGAGTCGGACGATTTAAACTTTGTTGTCCATCTTTTTATGTGCAGTGTACAGGGGGTAACGAGAGGTAATTAGCCTCTCCCGACTGGCGAATTAATTTCTCGTATCACACAGGTGAAGCAGAGCTATGAACTGACTGCCCTAAATGGGGTCCCACATGTTTATTTTGTGCGTATAGTGTAAGCAGTCAAGTTGCAGTTTGATGATGACATAAATCCTGAGCTTTGCAATGTACTAGTACAGCGAGAGTTGGTCTTTAACTAAAACATTGATGAAATCACACAGTGTATGCCTGGCTTTAAATACAGACCGGGTGAAGGGCAAATAAGCATAACATGAAACACTTGGTAACAGCAATGAAACCAATCAACAAAGAAAACTACAAACCAACTACAAGCTAAACAGGAAACAGGAACAAAACAGAAACACAAAACAAGAGTCCTGAGGTCAGGGGTTGTGACAAGGAACTGAAATATGTGCATGTTTCTGCAGACAAATTAAGCTTCATTAAAATAAAATAAATAAATAAAATTTTCCTCACAAGAATAATGTAGATCCTTAATGACAAACAATACAAGCAGAGTTTTCTAAATATGGTATTAATATCCGTTTAATGTTTTTACTTAATCCTGTTGAATATGTATTACCCATAAGTCTTAAAACAGACATTTATGTTTTTTATAGAAAAAAGCTGAAAATAAAAGTAATAAATATTAATAATTGTGTAGCTATTATGTCATTCATCTCTGGACTGTGTTTGTGTGTTTTATTTCCAGATTTCTCCATGATCATCATTATTAGTGTGTGTGTGATTCTGCTGCTGATCGGTGGATTCACTCTGACTGTGTGCAAATTAAGACACAAGAGACAAGGTTTGGTCATTTATTATCTGTAGAAACAAATTAATAATTAGTTATTTGACTGTCTCTAAACTGCTTCAGTAAATCTCACTTAGTCAATGAGTGGGTCTCAGATGCTGCTATACATCTCCAGTTTGACGCTTGATCTAGTTTGTCTTTGTCTTTCTGATTGATTCATTTTGTGTTGGGGTTAATCAGGAAGAACCTTGACATCAGATGAGAGAAAGAGAGAGAAAAATACAATAGTGAGTTACAGTTTGTGCGTGTTTGTACTTATATCGTGCTTATGCGATGTTTTCTCATTTTAAAATATATTTTATCTGCATTCAGTCATCATGTGCAGACAGCAGACGTGATTCTCTCTCAGATCCTGGATCAGCTCAAATGAAGAATCATGATGAATTACCCACAATCCCCTCTGATGAGCTCCTGTACGCTGCTGTCAGTTTCCAGAAGCATGAAGAGTCTCTCAGTGACGCTACAGCCCGATTCAGTAATGAGGAGATTCACTCTGATTACGCAACGATTATTTATCACACAAGACTCAACTAACTTGCTTAGAGATCACAGATTGTCACACATTACACCATTATTTGCTTACATTTAGTTCATTGATAAAGATGGGAAAGGAAAGGAGAGGAAAGGAAAGGAAGGGAAAGGAAGGGAAAGGAAGGGAAAGGAAGGGAAAGGATGTGACATGTGGCCAAGTATGGTATCTCATACTTCGAATTTGTGCTCTGCATTTAACCAATCCATGTGCACACACACAGCAGTGAGTAGTGAACAAACACACACACACACACACACACACACACACACACACACTGTGACCCACAACACCAGACCTGAGGGCAGGGGTTGTGACAAGGGGTTGTGAGCCTTGCTCAAGGGTCTCACCTCAGTTGTGGTATTGAGGGTGGAAGAGAGCACTGGTCATTCACTCCCCCCACCGACAATCCCTGCCGGCCCTGAGACTCGAACCCGCGACCTTCAGGTTACAAACTCTCTACGACTATCTATCCATTAGGCCATGACTGCCCCATAAAGATCTCTTTATAAATCATAATTTAGTATTAAACTGAACTGAACAACCCTGATCAATAAAACTTCAGTGTATGAATCATGAGACACTTTTAAAGTTTCCATGCCTGATCATATTTATTTTGCATGTTTAAAATATCAGCTGTGTGTAAAGTAAAAAAAAAAGGAAATGACTGACACGTCTAGAATATTCTGTAAAGTTTCCACTCCAAATGTCATAGACAAGACCAGAGTCTTGGCTTTGGTCTTGGTCTTATAGTCCTGGTCTAGATTGGTCTTGACTTTGGTCTTAGTCTCATAGGCCTGGTCTAGATTGGTCTTGGCTTTGGTCTTGGTATTATAGGCCTGGTCTAGATTGGTCTTGGTCTTATAGACCTGGTCTAGATTGGTCTTGGCTTTGGTCTTGGTCTTATAGGTCTGGTCTAGATTGGTCTTGGCTTTGGTCTTGGTCTTATAGGTCTGGTCTAGATTGGTCTTGGCTTTGGTCTTGGTATTGTACACCTGGTCTAGATTGGTCTTGGCTTTTGTCTTGGTCTTATAGGTCTGGTGTAGATTGGTCTTGGCTTTGGTCTTGGTCTTATAGGCCTGGTCTAGATTGGTCTTGGTCTTATATACCTGGTCTAGATTGGTCTTTGCTTTGGTCTTGGTCTTATAGGTCTCGTCTAGATTGGTCTTGGCTTTGGTCTTGGTCGTATATACCTGTTCTAGATTGGTCTTGGTCTTATAGGCCTGGTCTAGATTGGTCTTGATCTTATAGGCCTGGTCTAGATTGGTCTTGGTTTTGGTCCTGGTCTCATAGGTCTGGTCTAGATTGGTCTTGGCTTTGGCCTTGGTCGTATAGGCCTGGTCTAGATCTTATAGGCCTGGTCTAGATTGGTCTTGGCTTTGGTCATATAGGTCTGGCCTAGATTGGTCTCGGCTTTGGTCTTGGTCTTATAGACCTGGTCTAGATTGGTCTTGGCTTTGGTCTTGGAGGTCTGTTCTTGATTGGTCTTGGTCTTGGTCTTAACTACACCTCTGCCAAATACAGAGAGACATATTTAAATGCAGCTTTTGACACATATATTTATTAAAGACACTTTATTAGCAGCTCTTAAACAGATACAAATTTAAGCAACGTTTATGATGAAACACATGAAGCTTAAGAATCTGTTTTACTGTTTTCTCTTTCTCATCTATCTGAATATTGATTCTTATCTTTGACCTGATTTAGATTTGTGCATGCAAGAGATATTAGCTGCAGAGTACTTATGAGAAAGATCATTAACGTCGTTATTTTAGCACAATGAAAACTTGATGATCAATAATTTTGCTGATGTTGTTTGCAGTTCATTCTTGTTCTGTTTGTTTCTAGTTAATTTTTCTGATGTAAAAACTGTGTATACCTTTCATGTAGTCAGTCCTCCTCTACTATATGATTTGTTGTTGTGATATTCAAAGACTTTAAAATAAAAATTTTAATCTGAGACTGTTTTTGTCACAAAGATTCGAATCAACACTGGAGGTGTTTTTGTGTGTGTGTGTGTGTGTGTGTGTGAGTGTGTGTGTGTGTGTGTGTGTGTACAGGTTTGTATATCCTGGTGGGGACTTAAACCTGACTACACACAGACTCATGGGGACTCGTGTCACGGTGGGGACCTAAATTGTGGTCCCCACGAGTACAAAAGCTTATAAATCATACAGAAAGTTTTTTGAAAATCTAAAAATGCAGAAAGTTTCCTGTGAGGGGTAGGTTTAGGTGTAGGGTGGGTGTAGGGCAATAGAATATACGGTCTGTACAGTAGAAAAAACATTACGCCTATGGAGAGTCCCCACAAGGATAGCTGACCAGACATGTGTGTGTTGTGTGATAAACAGGCCATTTTTTCCGTCCAGCTCAAAGCCACAGAAAACTGGTGAATGTTAAGCATCTCAGTTTAGTTTGATTGTGAAGATTAAACAGCTTTATTCAGGAAACCCACAGCGATACAAACAAGACTGAACACAGACAGACAGAAGATGAACATTGTGAGCAGAAGACAATAAAGACTTAGAGTTGCTCATTCACTTTCAACGTACTGGAAGTGATTCATTGAGGTGCATTAACAATGTGATTTGACTGTTACTTTTATAGGCAGATCAAACCAAGGCCATGACCATGTGTTGAACACTGGGGGGGACCAACTATATATACCCCTTAAATTTTTCACTCTTTGTTATATTGCAGCCATTTACTAAAATCATTTAAGTTAATTTTTTTTCCTCATTAATGTACACACAGCACCCCATATTGACAGAAAAACACAGAATTGTTGACATTTTTGCAGATTTATTAAAAAAGAAAAACTGAAATATCACATGGTCCTAAATATTCAGACCCTTTGCTCAGTATTTAGTAGAAGCACCCTTTTGATCGAATACAGCCATGAGTCTTTTTGGGAAAGAGGCAACAAGTTTTTCACACCTGGATTTGGGAATCCTCTGCCATTCCTCCTTGCAGAGCCTCTCCAGTTCTGTCAGGTTGGATGGTAAACATTGGTGGACAGCCATTTTTAGGTCTCTCCAGAGATGCTCAATTGAGTTTAAGTCAGGGCTCTGGCTGGGCCATTCAAGAACAGTCACAGAGTTGTTGTGAAGCCACTCCTTCATTATTTTAGCTGTGTGCTTAGGGTCATTGTCTTGTTGGAAGGTAAACCTTCAGCCCAGTCTGAGGTCCTGAGCACTCTGGAGAAAGTTTTCGTCCAGGATAACCCTGTACTTGGCCGCATTCATCTTTCCCTCAATTGCAACCAGTCGTCCTGTCCCTGCAGCTGAAAAACACCCCCACAGCATGATGCTGCCACCACCATGCTTCACTGTTGGGACTGTATTGGACAGGTGATGAGCAGTGCCTGGTTTTCTCCACACATACCGCTTAGAATTAAGGCCAAAAAGTTCTATCTTGGCCTCATCAGACCAGAGAATCTTATTTCTCACCATCTCACAACTCCATGCGGGCTTTCATGTGTCTTGCACGGAGGAGAGGCTTCCGTCGGGCCACTCTGCCATAAAGCCCCGACTGGTGGAGGGCTGCAGTGATGGTTGACTTTCTACAACTTTCTCCCATCTCCCGACTGCATCTCTGGAGCTCAGCCACACTGATCTTTGGGTTCTTCTTTACCTCTCTCACCAAGGCTCTTCGCCCCCGATAGCTCAGTTTGGCCGGACAGCCAGCTCTAGGAAGGGTTCTGGTCATCCCAAACGTCTTCCATTTAAGGAATGGAGGCCACTGTGCTCTTGGGAACCTTAAGTGCAGCAGAAATTTTTTTGTAACCTTGGCCAGATCTGTGCCTTGCCACAATTCTGTCTCTGAGCTCTTCAGGCAGTTCCTTTGACCTCATGATTCTCATTTGCTCTGACATGCACTGTGAGATGTAAGGTCTTATATAGACAGGTGTGTGGCTTTCCAAATCAAGTCCAATCAGTATAATCAAACACAGCTAGACTCAAATGAAGGTGTAGAACCATCTCAAGGATGATCAGAAGAAATAGACAGCACGACCTAAATTGTGGTCCCCACGAGTACAAAAGCTTATAAATCATACAGAAAGTTTTTTGAAAATCTAAAAATGCAGAAAGTTTCCTGTGAGGGGTAGGTTTAGGTGTAGGGTGGGTGTAGGGCAATAGAATATACGGTCTGTACAGTAGAAAAAACATTACGCCTATGGAGAGTCCCCACAAGGATAGCTGACCAGACATGTGTGTGTGTGTGTGTGTGTTGTGTGATAAACAGGCCATTTTTTCTGTCCAGCTCAAAGCCACAGAAAACTGGTGAATGTTAAGCATCTCAGTTTAGTTTGATTGTGAAGATTAAACAGCTTTATTCAGGAAACCCACAGCGATACAAACAAGACTGAACACAGACAGACAGAGGATGAACATTGTGAGCAGAAGACAACTTAGAGTTGCTCATTCACTTTCAACGTACTGGAAGTGATTCATTGAGGTGCATTAACAATGTGATTTGACTGTTACTTTTATAGGCAGATCAAACCAAGGCCATGACCATGTGTTGAACACTGGGGGGGACCAACTATATATACCCCTTAAATTTTTCACTCTTTGTTATATTGCAGCCATTTACTAAAATCATTTAAGTTAATTTTTTTTCCTCATTAATGTACACACAGCACCCCATATTGACAGAAAAACACAGAATTGTTGACATTTTTGCAGATTTATTACTACTTCAGTCTGTGTGCATTGAATTTATTTAATACACGAGTTTCACAATTTGAGTTGAATTACTGAAATAAATGACATTATAATTTCCATGACATTATAATTTATTGAGATGCACCTGTGTATATATATATTAGGGGTGGGCATTTTTCAGAAATATTGTATTTGAATATTTGGACTCATAAAAATGAATATTATTTTTGATTATTTATTTTAATTACTTTTAACGAAAAATACAATATATTTTTTAATAGTCAAGATTTTGTCACCATTTCTGAATAAGCTTATGATTGCATTATACAAAATGTTCTACAACAACGTTTCGTTATATCTCAAGGTTTTCTTTTAGTTGAAAACGTGTGTAAACAAACAAAACACACATACACACATGTGTATATATATAATATAAAGAACAAAAGCATTCAAACTCAAGCAGAGCAAACGGAAAAAATAAAGCAGACTGCCAATTACAGTACAGAAAGTACATACACTCAAGTCTGCCTTTGTTTATTGTGTTTATATTGTTTCACATGTTAAGGTTGAGAAAACAATGATATCCACATGCTCAGGTGAAAGTTGGCTCCTCAGTCTCATGCGTGCCAACACATAGAGTTCCAGAGACACAAAGATAATGGTGTGCTGAGCTTCTTACAGCGCTGTGTGTTTTCTGTTCTTAAAGGAAGCTTATGTCGCAAGATCATTTGGCTGTCGGATCAGCTCTCTTCTCGGCTCACCTGGGCTACAGCTGCACTCACTTGCCGTCATGAATGCAGTGATGAACAGCTGTCTTTCCTCAGTCGACTGGTGTTTGGATTTCATGTGATTCTCATTGTGGTGGTGATATTATGATAACTCAGATTCACTGATTAATTTGATCAAAAGTAATTCCATTTTGTAAGATAATTTTGATCAAAGTGATTCCAAACTTCGCGAGGCAGACGACGACATTCTGTGATCAAATACAAAATAAACTTGTTAACACGCTCCACAGTGCAACCCAGTGCATTTAGTTATAACTGACTTTTAGTGTGCGTGCTTAGGATTTATCATAGATTCCCTGCATTTACGGCCAGCAAAGCAACATGCAGTAAAATTCGAATAGTGTTTTTATTTTTAGAAAAATAATTACAGATCGAATATTCAACTGTTTGTGCATATATGTATATATATAAAAGGCTGTCATGTCTTATAAGAGTCTGCAGATATTGCTATGGCGTTAAATTATTATATATATATAGGCCTATATGTAAATACATACAAACATACGTACATACATATAACGCAGGTGTGCATTAAAATCATTTAATGCATAGATGGTGCTGCGCACACACAGAAACATTCAGGAGCACAGAAACTTCCTGTCAACGCTGCCCAGCGACTTTTATAAATAAAACAGCTTAAATACTGAATCGCTACATTATATTTCTCAGTAAAAAAGAGGTAAAATCGCTGTAGAGTGACATGCACAGAAGCAGGTAATTCACACACTCAACTTATATCCCTCTCTCTCGCTCTCATTTTAAAATATCATGGAGTATCTTTATATAGCAGTAATAGTAATAGTTGTATGTTAGTTTGCTTTTCTGAATTCAGCCAGAGAAAGATACAAATACAATTGTGGGTTTAGACATGTAAATGTCAATGTTTGTAAATGTCACTTGCTGATGTTGTGTTGTGATATGGTTAAGATGATTATCAGACAGAAAGCAAATGAGACACACTGAAGTGGTGAATCTTTACAGAAGGTTTTTTTTTTCTTTAGTAGCATAAAGTGACTGCTTTGTGTTTGCAGGGTTGTTTAATAATGTGGTCAGTGTGCTCAACACGAGATGCTCTTCAGCTTGTGGTTTTCTTTTGATCAGTTTATCTGCTTTGAGTCAAATCAAGAAGCCCTTTAGCCAACAGCATGTGTGATAAAAAAACAAATGCATATCTTATCATCAGACTTTCCACTCCATAAAAACATGCTGTGAATTAGTTTAATATGAAAAGTTTAAATGTTCTTTATAGTATATCCCAGCTTTAGTCAGGTCATCTGAAATATTTGCTAAAGGGAAGTGCAATCTCAAAAGTTTTTGCTAATACAGTAAGTCCAACCAACTCCAGTTGTAAGTGTGCATTATAAAATATCTGCTTTTCAGATGTTTCAAAAGCAAAAAAAAGATGTAAACCTTCTCAGTAGAAGACAGTGAGAAGTGATGTCCAAATCGCAAACAAAATCATTATTTTTATATGCTTCAATAATATAATTGCATAAATATGACATAATTGTGTGATGACATAAACACACACACACACACACACACACACACACACACACACACACACACACACACACACACACAGGGAAGTGCAATCTCAAAAGTTTTTGCTAATACAGTAAGTCCAACCAACTCCAGTTGTAAGTGTGCATTATAAAATATCTGCTTTTCAGATGTTTCAAAAGCAAAAAAAAGATGTAAACCTTCTCAGTAGAAGACAGTGAGAAGTGATGTCCAAATCGCAAACAAAATCATTATTTTTATATGCTTCAATAATATAATTGCATAAATATGACATAATTGTGTGATGACATAAACACACACACACACACACACACACACACACACACACACACACACACACACACACACACAGTGGTTCATTGAAACAAACTGTCAGAGAGAACCAGTTCATGGAAGAGAATTGGACTACCATAACTAAAAAGCAAACCATTCCGCAAAGGGCCAGTGAGGTTTAAGCTTCTACTCTATAAGTTTATACTCTTTCCTTTTCTCCTTATATGGCACTAAATGCCTCATTTCATATTTATGCAGTACATAAATTTGTATATTAAACATTAGACAATAAAACATTTTAAAAAATGAATCAAACAGTTTGTTGTTTGTAATGAATGCCGCTGTAATTTATTTCATTTTATTTTAAGTCTACTTATATTTTTCATTCTTGTTTTGTTCTGAATACAACAGTACAACATTTAGAGATGTGTTGTGGAGTAAGGGGATCTAAAATATATATTTATAATGTTTGTAAACATTTTATCTACTGGTATTTTACATGATTTTTGAATGTAATAATAAAATAAAATTGATATGTGATTTATCTGTTTTTTATTTTATTTTTATTTTTTTTCTTTCTCTCTCAACTTAAGTTTGACCGGGTGCGACATACTTAGGTGCGACTTAAACTCTGGAAAATAAGGTCAATTATAATAATTGTGCTGTATTATTAAAAAGTGCATATTTACAGATTTCAGATTTTAGAGTTTCAATAAAACAAGTACATCGTTACTCCCACCCTGTAACTTTGGGTTTAATCACAGTTATTATTATGAGGTGGACCTATAGCCAATAAGGGGTCCCTGGCCTGAAAAGGTTCGAGAACCCTGTGTTAGATGAAGCAGACATCCAAAATGATCAGAGGTGGGCGGTCTTCAGGACAGATTTGAGAAGGACTGCAAAGGGCCTCAGTGAACTTACATGTACACCCTCTAGTGGAAGATATAAATGATGCAGATCAGTTTACTTGGAGAACATGAAACCTGTTTGAGCTCTCAGTATCAGACGGTGTAACTGCACTAGGTGGCGCTCTTTCAGTGTGATTAATGTGATGTTCAGTCAGTGGTGATGGTGGGAGGAGCCAGTAAAGCTGCTCATTACTGATAAAGAGCTGAATAAAGAGGAAGTAACTAAAGCAGACAGATGTAGAGACAGAGAGATTCACACATCATCAGATCATTCAGCATAAAGAAGACTGAACTCAACTCACAATGAAGATCCTCCTCATCTTCCTCACTTTCTACCTGATCTCAGGTGAGAGCTTTTCTCTTTCATCACTGCAGTAATGATGCTGTTTTCTGTTCATCAGCTTTCTGATCACAGTATCAATCTGATTGACAGCTGCAGTGAGATGCTTTAGCGTCACGGGATATTCTGGAGCAAGTCTTCTTGTTGATTCTGGGAAACTTTGGTTCCGTGACTCTGCTAAATATATGGCCAAATTACCTGAGTGGAGAACAATAATAAATGATAAGAAACATGATAAATTGATTAATGAAGGAAGATTCACACTTTATCGAAACAGTGAGGGAAACCTCATGATCTACATCAGAGAACTCAATCAACATGATGCTGGAAGATACGCAATTGATGTTCTTCACAACCAGCGTATATATATGACTGTGAATGTGAAAGAAGAAGAAGGTCAGCCATTTTACGATCAAAGTCTTTTAGTAAAACCACTGATCATGTCAATGCATTTATATTCATAAAATAAATTTCTCTATGTAAATCACAGATTCATGTTGTGAAGTGTCAAAGAGAGTGAGGGTGAATATTGGAGAAACTGCCAATTTCAGCTGTGAATATTCACAGAATCATATTAATGATCCCAAGATCATATTCAAAGAAGGAAAAGACTCAATTGAGACGATTTACAGCAGATGGAAGAAGAAAGATAGAGTCAGTATTTCTGATGACAGACATAAACACATCTTCAGTGTGAGAATCACTGCTGTGACACCAGATGATGGAGGAGTTTATTTATGTGGAGTTTGGATCAACAGACAATCATACAGTTACTCCATTATTAACACTGTGCATCTACATATTATGAGTGAGTAGAACAAACACTTAAGTCATATTGGGTATACGTTTTTCTACAATCTGTGTTTGTAGCAGATTTGATTGTGATATTTGTGATTGACAGAAAAAGTGGGCGTTTTTAAAGCAGGCAGAAAAGACTCAATTGAGACGATTTACAGCAGATGGAAGAAGAAAGAAAGATTCAGTATTTCTGATGACGAACATAAACACATCTTCAGTGTGAGAATCACTGCTGTGACACCAGATGATGGAGGAGTTTATTTATGTGGAGTTTGGATCAACAGACAATCATACAGTTACTCCATTATTAACACTGTGCATCTACATATTATGAGTGAGTAGAACAAACACTTAAGTCATATTGGGTATACGTTTTTCTACAATCTGTGTTTGTAGCAGATTTGATTGTGATATTTGTGATTGACAGAAAAAGTGGGCGTTTTTAAAGCAGGCATGTCCAATCGAGCGCCACTATCTTACAGAGTTTAACTATCTTACAGAGTTTAGCTCCAATAATTAAACACACCTGAACCAGCCAATCAAGGTCCTTCGGGATTTCTAGAAACGTCCAGATAAGTCTATTGGAGCAGTTTGGAGCTAAACCTTTGGAAGCAGGATTGGACACCCTGGTTTAGAGATAATGAGCTGAAGGTTCAGAGTCTCAGTTTAATATGGCTATAAAGAATTAACGGTCTTTATTCAGGAAACCCACAGACCACACGAGACTCGACAGAGCGACGAAGCCGAGCCTGTACAGTTCTGCAGAAGAGAGACTGAAATACACTCATTCAACTGCAGAGTAGTGCAGCTTTTATATATAATGAAATACTGTACATATGAAGCTGTGCATGACAACTCTCAGTGATGTTGGTCAGTAAGAGATCATCAGACGACGCCAAAGCCCTGCTTTAAATGTTTCATTTATGTACAATTTGTTAAGGCTCACAGTTGCTCTTTATTTTTAACCTGTAAGTGTTAGAACAGATATTTGTATTGGATATAAAACATGCCGAGTTGGATTTCATTTTCAACTTTATCAGAATCAGAGCAGCTTCATGCTACAGATTAGACTTCACTTTAACTCATGTTCTTGATAAATGTGTGATTGAACATAAACATCATCATTTAGAATATTTGTGTAGATATTATTTCAATTATGTATACTGTATCTCTTTAATTAACACTCTGTTGGTGTGTTTTATTCTCAGATTTCTACATGATCTTCATTATTAGTGTGTGTGTGATTCTGCTGCTGATCGGTGGATTCACTCTGACTGTGTGCAAATTAAGACACACGAGACGAGGTGATGCACACACACACAGGCCAGTTCACTCACAGTTACTCACAATCCCCTCTGATGAGCTCCTGTACACTGCTGTCAGTTTCCAGAAGCATGAAGAGTCTCTCAGTGACGCTACAGTCAGATTCAGTAAGGAGGAGATTTGCACCACGGTCATTTACCACACGAGACTCAACTAACTCACACAACAGTTAACATACATAACAGATACATATACATACACACACACATAACAGAGATCACAGATCCTCACGTTACTATTGGTGTTAATGCACAGACGTGCAGCAGTGTGTCAAATCATGAGACACTTTAAAGTTTCCACCGCTGCTCATGTTGCTTCTTTCACATGTTTAAAATAGTCTGTCATGTTCGTTTTTGTCAGGTTGCAATGAAGACAGGAAACAATACCCCTCACACTGTAAAGTTTCCACTCCAAATGCAGATACACATATAATTCACAAAGGCTCTTTAATAGCGACTCCAAAACAAACACGAGTTCAACCAGCCTTTATATGATGAGATGCATGAAACGTGAGAAGCATAATTTGTACTCTGTGTAGAGCTGATACGTACTGTTTTGTTATTCTTATATCTCTGAATGTACCGCTGCTCTCTGACCTGCTTTACATTAGTCCAGGATTCCAGTTATAGATATATTGAGAGATGTTGTATCGATGCTCAGTTTATGTTTAAATTATAGAATCATATATTTTATTCATGCAGAAATAAATCATATTTTGAAATTGTTTCTTGCTTATCATCTACAGACTTTTTATTTTAGGTCTTAGAATCACAGAAAGGCTCTCTAATGTCCATTCAGCTGCATTCGTGCTTTCTGAACTCTTGAAAACATGCAGTTGTTTTTGAAACAGTCTTGAATTAAAAAGGTGAATTTATTTCTGCTGAACAAAAAAGACTATATATATATTTGCAGTACTGTGGAAGTCACTGGCTACCATCAACACTTTGGCTACTGACATTCTTCAAAAAAAAATTATTTTGTCTTCAACAGAAAAAAGAAACTCGTACAGGTTTGGAACAACTTCAGGGTTAATAAATGATGACATAATTTTTATTCTTGGGTGAACTATTATTTTAACACTAGTTGAGATGATCCATGATGACGATACACGTGAGGCTCAATGACATTACATGTAGTTTCTTCTCCTCCTTTCTCTTTATATGTCAACCTGACTGAAAACAAAGTGCACGGGTGAATTATTTCAACAGTGCCCTTACTTCAAAGTGTACTACAAGTGTGTAATTAGTAAACTATCAGTATGCCTGTAAGTTCACTTTTAGTATAGTTGCAGTACAAACTAAAAACATATATGTAAACTAGTTGTGTACTCAAAGTTTACTACTGTTATACTTAAAGCATATTTAAATGTATACATTTATATACTAGAAAGTGGGCCAATTTAGTCCCCAAGGAGTATTGAAATAGTACACTTACAAGTATACTACTAGTACACTGATATTTGTATACTTACTACATAAAGTATACTTAAATATATACTTGAACTATACTTAAGTATACTTAATAAAATAAACTTGAAGTATACTACTAAGACAGGAAACAATACCCCTCACACTGTAAAGTTTCCACTCCAAATGCAGATACACATATAATTCACAAAGGCTCTTTAATAGCGACTCCAAAACAAACACGAGTTCAACCAGCCTTTATATGATGAGATGCATGAAACGTGAGAAGCATAATTTGTACTCTGTGTAGAGCTGATACGTACTGTTTTGTTATTCTTATATCTCTGAATGTACCGCTGCTCTCTGACCTGCTTTACATCAGTCCAGGATTCCAGTTATAGATATATTGAGAGATGTTGTATCGATGCTCAGTTTATGTTTAAATTATAGAATCATATATTTTATTCATGCAGAAATAAATCATATTTTGAAATTGTTTCTTGCTTATCATCTACAGACTTTTTATTTTAGGTCTTAGAATCACAGAAAGACTCTCTAATGTCCATTCAGCTGCATTCGTGCTTTCTGAACTCTTGAAAACATGCAGTTGTTTTTGAAACAGTCTTGAATTAAAAAGGTGAATTTATTTCTGCTGAACAAAAAAGACTATATATATATTTGCAGTACTGTGGAAGTCACTGGCTACCATCAACACTTTGGCTACTGACATTCTTCAAAAAAAAATTATTTTGTGTTCAACAGAAAAAAGAAACTCGTACAGGTTTGGAACAACTTCAGGGTTAATAAATGATGACATAATTTTTATTCTTGGGTGAACTATTATTTTAACACTAGTTGAGATGATCCATGATGACGATACACGTGAGGCTCAATGACATTACATGTAGTTTCTTCTCCTCCTTTCTCTTTATATGTCAACCTGACTGAAAACAAAGTGCACGGGTGAATTATTTCAACAGTGCCCTTACTTCAAAGTGTACTACAAGTGTGTAATTAGTAAACTATCAGTATGCCTGTAAGTTCACTTTTAGTATAGTTGCAGTACAAACTAAAAACATATATGTAAACTAGTTGTGTACTCAAAGTTTACTACTGTTATACTTAAAGCATATTTAAATGTATACATTTATATACTAGAAAGTGGGCCAATTTAGTCCCCAAGGAGTATTGAAATAGTACACTTACAAGTATACTACTAGTACACTGATATTTGTATACTTACTACATAAAGTATACTTAAATATATACTTGAACTATACTTAAGTATACTTAATAAAATAAACTTGAAGTATACTACTTTTTGGTAAGGGTGGTGTATTTAAGGGATGAAGAAATCACTTAAATTTGAGCCTGTTTCTCACACAAAACTTTTTTTATGGCTTCGGAAGACTTGCAATACGGATCACAAAGTGTAGGGAGAACTTGTATGGTACTTTATTCCTCTCTGATGGAGTTTCACATCAGTGGCACAACTAAGTCAGTCTGGGGCTCATGAATTTGCCACAATATCATCACATAACCATTCCTGAAGACTAAGAAAGTGGCTTATTTGACTGTTTTAAGCCCTTAATTGACTGCTTTGTGTCTATAGCTGTCTGTACCTTATCCACAGTGATCATTTATTTACATGTTCAAAAATCATAAATCTTGCGCATGCATAGACAGCACAAAACTTGTCCGAGACTGTAAGCACAATCACAGTCTGATATTTTCATGTTTTTCAGTTCATTCTTGTAAGCTGTAGGGTAACTGGTGGCTATAAAGTGGTGAAAGGTGTAGAGTTAAAAAACAGTCCTCCCTACACAATTCTTCAGTGTGTGACTCTCAGTGCGTTCTGTTTTTCTGTCCGGGACTTTGTTTAATTTAATGCATCAACCCTATTTCACCGTGAATTTAGCTTTCTTTCTAAATCTTTTGTATGACGCTCTTGTAAGGCATTTCCGAACATCACACAAGCCATCTGCAGTCATAAAAACTACGTACAAGGTCAGCTCAGGGTCTCCGCAGTTCCTGTCTCTCTCTGCTTATCTTTAGAAGAAACAACAAGAACTGACCCTACCCCATCTGGATTCATTTAAGCAGCAGAACGTCAGTAGGTTTCGTGACTGGCTTCAGCATAAATAAACCATCTAATGGACCACGGAACAAAGAACCTGGTATCTAGACAGAGGCCCGCACAGAATCGCACGGACCTCATGACCATTAACACATAAATTGTTAAATCTGATAAACAGAAAGTGGCAGATTAAGAACTCTCTCTGTCCAGGAGAAATTGGGCAGACTCTCATGCTCTGACATGAGAATGACCTCAGAACATCTCCCCTTTTCTCCCTTTGCAGAATGAAATGAATGTTGAAATGAAGTAAACTTCAATAGTAGGTACAATACTTGCTTTTATGAGACTTTATAGGAGTATTGACAACTTTTATAGATGGTGTTCTCATGTGATGAATTGAAGCCTCTTGTTAATGTATGCACGCTCCGCCTGCGCAAGAAGGCGATTGGGAGATCGCCTCGTGGGACGGATTTATGCAGCGGAACAAAACTCAACGCAAAAGGGCTTCTTCTGCTTGCTCTCGCCTGTCGCCGTGTTAGAGCACTCCACGTGTGCTCACGTGCTTACCATCAAAGCGACCAGCCATCTAAACTCAACACTTCAGTGATACTTCGTTGAAATCTTCAAAGAACTTAAAGTCTTGCAAACTAAGACTTTCAGCAGAACTGCTCAAGCCAATTGTCTGGTGTCATATAATTTCAAGGTTAAAACTGTTGCCAAAAATCCCTTTGCTTGCTGCCTAACTCGTAGCTTACTCATAATAATTACCTCTCTAAGAGCTAACAAATTATCATAAGTGTGTTGACCGTGGCCAGGAAAACACATATTGAATTTGTTAAAATATACTGAGAATCACCGGCTCGCTGGACGACCCTTGATTTAAAGTGTAAACTATCAAATTTAGAATCAGTTCGAATCAGGTTGCATTAGGCTCTTCAGATCCTAGTCCTCTAAAACCTGAATTAATAATAATTAATTCCCTTACAACTGAGTTAATTTCTTACACTCTCATACACAAATCCATTTGACAGCTGCAGCAGAACAGAACTTTCTTACATACTCCGTCGTATCCACTAGGTGGCGCTCTTTCAGTGTGATTAATGTGATGTTCAGTCAGAACTTTTATAATATTATTATTTCCTTTGTTTAAGCAGAAAATCCCATTGAGCTATGGATTCATATAAAATACTGTGGTGCGTGTGTGACTCAGCAACACAAACAAAATGTAATGCTGCATGATAAACAGTCTAATAAAATCTAAATACCTAAATATTTATACCTACCTACTTTTTCTATAAATATACCATGTAAGGTCAAAATTGCCATGTTCATCATCTTGATCAATTTCAGCTGTAGCAGTGAATGCTGCATTACTTGAAATGCATTCTGGTGTGCTTTCTGCAAGGCTTGATTTAAAGAAGATGCTGTTGTATATATATTTGTGTCGTCAGCATACAAATTAATTTTAGTTAAATTTATTCCAAGACCTAAATCATTGATAAAGATAAAAAATAAAAGAGGAGCTAAAACTGATCTTTGTGGTACCCCGCTGTCTACTTTAATGTAGGGAGAACTATACAACAAATAAAGCTGCACAAGACTTTTTACTATCCAAGAATTTAATGATATCATTTGTAACTAACATGGCTGCAGTAATGGTGCTGTGGCCTGTTCTGAAACCTGACTGATAGTCATTAAGGATATCATTATTATCAGATAAAAAATTTTTTAATTGATCGTTTATCAATGATTCAAATACTTTCGCTAAAACTGGTAGACGTGAGATAAAACGGTAATTATTGGGACTTGAAGGATCTCCACCCTTTAAAGGTGCCATAGAATGCAATGATACAATATTTTTAATTGTTCTCTGATGTCCCCAGAGTGTGTATGTGAAGTTTTATCTCAAAATACCCCAGAGATAATTTGTTATAGCTTCTTGAAATTGCCACTTTCAGGGTATGAGCCAAAATGTGCTGTTTTTTGTGTTTGTCCCCTTTAAATGAAAATGAGCTGGTGCTCCCGCCTCCCTTTTCAGAAGAGTGTGGAGCTTCAAGAGCTCATGCTCGCGGGCATACTGGTGTTACGGTTTAACTGGTGGTGACCATGTTACTGACCTCACATTGCTTCCAAATGCAATTTTTAACTACCACATTCCTATTTATGATCATTCTGGTAACACGTGAAGGCAGCATTAGTGAAAACAGGCAGAGACAATGGTAGCTTTAGCAACACTAGCCTTACAGAGAGCCAAGAAACTCTTTTGGAAAACAAAATACGACACGTGATGCTTACTTTGTCTGGAGTCTGGATGTTTGCGCACGAAGCGTTGGTATCAATCCCTCTTTCAGAAGCAATCTTTGCACAAGTCCAGTGCTGAACTGACCCTCGTGTGTGAGGCACGTAAAATGTTAGCACAAACGTATAAGACTTTTCCGTTTTTTTTCGGGACATTTCCTTCGAAAATGAAATTTAACCACCATGTCCTAAGCGGTATATGGAGACTCCTATGTTCGTTGGTGCATCCCAACACACGACACTAGTGATGGGAAGTTCAGATCATTTTACCGACTCGGACCTTTGAGTCTCGTTCAGCAAAATGAACAAATCTTTTTTCGAGTAATTTCGTTCATTTTAGCTAAACATAATTAAAATGCTAAGTGTTACTTAAGTGTTACTTAAGTCTACTACTAACGCAAACGTTGATCACACTACAAACAATACATAACTGCTATAAGAAAAAGAAAAGATTAATTAATTGTTTACCTGAGTCTTCAGTCTATGATTAGCTCACCTCAGCTCTTATCTGACAAGTCTTCGGGTTTGAGTCATTCATTCATCACATGACAGCCCCATAAGCTTTAACCAATGCAGTCTGAGCCGGAAAGAGAATTGATTAGTTCATCTCTCGAGTCTTCGGGTTTGAGTCATTCTTTCATTCTTTTGTCACGTGATGTGACAGCATTGGATAGAGAAATTAGTTAATTTACAAGCTTCCTTACAAACGGGTGCATAGTTATTATTATTATTATTATTATCATCATTATTATAATTATTATTTACTCTTACAGTTAGGTGATGCATTTCTGGTCTCAAATTGTAGCTTTTTACTTCTTACAGTTTATAAATGTGTGAATTTCTGTCATTATGGTTCTTTTCCATAACACTGAATGTTGTAATAAAGGTAATAAAGAGTTGGTTATTATTATTAAGTCTCTTTCCGGCTCTGACAGCATTGGTTAAACTTATGGGGCTGTCACGTGATGAACGAACGACTCAAAAAACCCGAATACTCGAAACAGGTGAACTACTTGACTAAACCCAGTACAGAACCTATAGGATGTTGCGCATGCGCGACTGAACGAATCACTCCCCGAGACGACTCGTTCTTCCCGAGTCACATTAAAGATTTGTTCAAAATGAACGAATCATTCAAGAACGACCCAACACTACACAACACTTTTAATGGCTCTTTGGCGCTGACATTGTACCTCCAGCACCTACAGCAAGAAAACAGTAATGGCGAACCGCTGCTTCTCACTCAGGGCTGTGTATATGCTAATAGGGCAGAGAGCGTCACAAATGGGCGGGACTTTCCCAGAGTATGACGTCATAGTAGTGAGAAATCTGGAACTACTAGTGTGGAGAGACTGTTTATGATTTATTGGGATTATAATACAATGAGTGTGTGGATTTTTACCATCATAGGCTGGTTATTTTCACACACTGCGGCAACACAGCTGTGTTCAAACACCTTATAAAAGTGATTTTTGCATTCTATGGCACCTTTAATAACGGGATGACTGTTGCTGATTTCCATGTTTTCAGTAAGTTAAGCTTAGGTTAAATATAGAAATATCAGCTGCCAGTCTGAAAAATAGGGCTCAATGTTATCGATGCCCGCTGATTTTTTTATATCAAGTTTCACTAAAGCTTTATGCATTTGTGCAGCAGTAAATTCAACAACTGTGATGGACAATGTGGAACAGGATTTAAACTTTCCACAGGAGCACATTCACCTAAATGGCTATAGTCAGATGTGAAACCAGCAGATATCAAATTATTAGTAAAGATATATGCACTCTTTACTACAGAATGGTTAACATTTAAATAATCAGCTAAGTTGATTGATGAGCTTGGTGCCAAATTGTATTTTGACTAATTTCCAGAACTTTGTAGGGTTAGTTAAATTGTAATTTATCATAGAAAGATGATAATCACATTTTGTGCTTTTTATTAATTTTGTGCATTTATTTCATAGTGTTCTGTAGGAGATCCAATCTAGAGAATCATTTGTTTTCTTAGCTTTAGCCCAAGCAGCATTCCTCTGTTCAATAAAAGTAGAAATGGTATCGTTAAACCAAGGATTATGTTTGACCACTTATTCTAAATCGTTTAAATGGAGCATGTTAGATATCTACATGCTAAAATACCTAAACAAAACTAAAGTAGACTGACTAAAATTAGTCAAACACTTGTATTAAACAAATGGAAGAAGAAGAAGAGAAAGACTGGCAAACACATATCTACAAACAAGTTGCCATCTTGAATTTTGCCCCTGTCAATCTTGCATGTATGAAGTATCTGTTCTGATTTTCCTGTAATTTATTTTGGTTTATAGATGCAAAATATCCAAAGAGTGTGACTGAATCTGCTCTTTTTGGTGAAAAAGTCAACATCACCTGTCAGATCCCAGAGAAACATGAAGTTCATTTCTGCAAAGAGGATGTTAATCACATCTGCCAAACCATCAGCTCATCTAAAGTGACAGAAATGAATCCTTCATCTGAGAGAAATGAAGAGAGAGTTGTTAGAGTGAGCATCAGTAATGTGAGTGTGAGAGATGCTGGAGTTTACTGGTGTGGAGCAGAAACCAGAGACACATATCTGACTTTCATCTCCCTGAACACTAAAATTCAGCTCAACCTCATCAGTGAGTCCATTCAGATTGATCACAATGTAGCTATCAAACATTTCAATGCAGAGTCACAGTGAGATGGATGTTGAGTTAATAAGGTGTATTTTAAATGAATAAAACATCTGATTGACAGCTAAAGTGGGTGTGTCTAGAGTGAGCGGCTCCTCAGGAGGTGGTTTGATGATCAAGTGTGAACATCCTCAATACAAAACCAACCCAAAATACATCTGTAAAGAATCAGACGGATGTTCAGAGAGGAAGAATCCAGGAGTTCAGGATGAATGGATGGAGAATGGAGATGTTTCTTTATATGACGACACCAGAGCAGGAGTCTTGATGGTGTTTTTTAGAGAGCTGAAAGCTGCAGATGCAGGAACATACAGGTGTGGAGTGAAAGTATCTGACTATACTGAGAGCTTCACTGAACTTCAGCTGCACCTCAGACACGGTGAGCAAACTCAGATACTTTGTCTTATATATTTAAAATATTTGTTCTGATTTTTGTGTGATTTCTTTTGGTTTATAGATGAAAAATATCCAAACAACGTGACTTCAGCTCATATTGGTGGAGAAGTCAACATCACCTGCCAGATCCCAGAGGAGCATGAAGTTCATTTCTGCAAAGAGGATGATAATCACACTTATAATCACATCTGCCAGAAAATCAGCACATTTAAAGTGACAGAAATGAATCCTTCATCTGAGAGAAATGAAGAGAGAGTTGTTAGAGTGAGCATCAGTAATGTGAGTGTGAGAGATGCTGGAGTTTACTGGTGTGGAGCAGAAACCAGAGACACATATCTGACTTTCATCTCCCTGAACACTAAAATTCAGCTCAACCTCATCAGTGAGTCCATTCAGATGATTTCACTTAAGTAAATGTTGAAGTGGGCAGATAATGCATGCTTTATATATGTCAAACTTATGAAAGAATAAGGTAGAATTAGGTTACATTTAGCCACTTTTAGCCATTGAGATGACTGGGAAAAAATGTCCCAATTACCCTGAATTAACCATATATATTTATGTGGAAATTTACTTTTTTGTTTTAGAACACATGAATATATACTCTTTATTTTGATTGATTGATTGATTGATTGATTGATTGATTTTCATTTAGTCACTGCCAAGTGACTTTCTGTAATCAATATCTAGAAATCTAGTACACTGTTTTTCTGCCTGGGCAAAAAAATTAGGTACAGCTTTTCAAGTGCTTGAAATGTCCTGTCTGTTTTCTCTAGTTTCACATATATAAAACATAACTTAGATCAGATAAAAACCATTGCTTCATGGATCCACAGAGAGATCATCGACCCCTTGCGGCGAACCATTACGATTCTGAAACATTGAAACAGTTATAATGTAACAACGACTCATTTAGTGAAATCACTTGACTTTGGCACTTCGAATCATGCTCTGATTCTCTGGTTTTGAAACTTCAAAGTGCACATAACCATATTAAGGACCGCCATTATATTTGGAAAGCTATATGCCAATTGTACAGTGATTGGTGCTTGGACCCTGATGACTGCTATTTGAATTTATAATGAATTGTTGTTCGTCTAAGTTTCTTTTGTTCAGAGTTTGGTCTTCTATTGTCATTCTTCCATAAATGAAACAGTTTTAAGAGTCTTTGCAGTCTACCCCACTATGAACATGTATATAAGTGCAGATAAATGCATGTATATAGAGTAACATTATCTCGCTTTTTCCAGTAAACACCACATGAAGAGATAATATGCAAATTCAATTAAACAATGATCATAGTGGTAACTTTTAATGCATAAGTTATATTTGCAAGATCAACTAAATGAATAAATAAATAAATATGCATTTTAGTAGTATGCAATGTCAAAGTAATATTCGATTCAAATGCCCATCCTTCATTATGTCATTATTGCATCATACTGACACCAAGTGGCCACAGATGCAGGTTACACACTGTACAATGCATGATGCCTGATGTCTCCTGAATATCATCAGTGTCTCGACTTGATGAAATATATTCATTCATGTTCATGTGTACTTAAAAGTCCTCGATCTCTTCTAAGCACAAGGCTGAATTTATTTGTGTGTGCTAAATGACTAAATGTAAATGTAAGATTGAATTTGTTCGAAGGAAATGTACATAGAGTGAGCTCTTGCTGCAAATACTGTAACTCATGGAGAGGAGGAGCAAATGACAGACAGAGAGAGAGCGAGAGAGAGAGCTTGAGCTCTTCATTAATATAGAGACCACCAGCACCACACACATGAAACAATGATCCAGATCCGTGATGATAAACTCATATTTCACCTGCTGCTCCTCGTGTCAGGTGAGAGTTATCCTGTGTCTTTCTAACAGTCTGTCTGTTCTCAATCAGGTCCATGTTTGCACTCAGCTGTTTCTCTCTCTTTATATTTTCTTAGTGGCGGTATGTGAGACGAATGAGATCTTGACTTTCACTGCACATGAAAGAGGAACAGTTGAGATACAGTGCTCATATAAGTCTGCAGATGAAGAACATGAGAAGTATCTCTGCAGAGGAAAATGTCCAAGACTGAAAAAAGACAAAGTTGTTGAATCTGGATCAGCAGCTCAAGACAAGAGATTCTCTCTGACTGATGACAAAACGGCCCACATCTTCACCGTCACCATCACTGATCTGAGAACAGAGGATCAAGGCCAATACTGGTGTGGAGTAAAGAGAGGGCTGGGAATATTGGATGACTTTACAGAGATTCATCTGGAAATTAAACACGGTAAGTCAGAATATACTGTATGTGTATCATTGGCA